TATGCTAAGTGTCCAACCGTTCATTCGACTGTTTGACCAGTCACTATGACACACACTGACCACCAGGGGGACAGACACCCTGACTGGTAGGTGAGCTTGCTGCTGGGGTCCACTGATCAGGACTGGGCGAGATGGGCCAGACATGCCCTGGAGCCCTCCTGCGGTCTCTCTCCGGCCCCAATCGTGTCCCGGTGGGGGCCCTCAGCCTGGTGTGCACCCTTTCGCAATCCAGGACCCCTCAGGGGATGTTGGACTGCTGGTTTTGGCCTGATCCCCACAGGCCAGGCCAAGGGACCCCACCGGTGAATGAATCCATGCTCCGGGTCTCTAGTTCTCCAATAAAAGAAATTACTGATTCTAGGTTTGGAGTGGGAAATACATTAGCCTGGCTCATCTTATAGCACCAGCAAATAGAGATGTGCTACACACTCACACATGTACACAAACGCACTCACATTCACACACACTCACACTTATGGGGATATTTTAAAAGAGGCACGGGATTCAACTGAAAGAGTCCTTGATATATGGGAATAGAAGCATGGGCAGAGAATGAAGTGATATTGGGCTTTAACCAAAATATAAAAGAAATACCTATAAGTTCATACTGATAAACAATGGCTGAATAAATAAACGAGGGAGAAGAGACAAAAACTCTTGTAGAAGAATTCTATATAACTTGTGTAGATACTTTTACCTCAAAGAAATAACACATAATTCTCCAGAGGACAGTGCATAGTGCCGCCTTTCCAAAAAATACAGTATGGAAATAGAAAAAAAAAAATTACAGTGGAGAAACCTGATAAACACAACCTCAGTCAGATGACCAAGATCAGCATCAACAGTGGTAAATCATGTTGCTAGCACAGTAAATCCTCTATTTTGTGGACCTCAATTTAATGGACTTCAGATTTAACAAACAAAATTTCTGGTGCCTACCTCATATGTGAAAATTAATATCCTTTTAATTTTAAAATGCGTTTAACCAAGACTTGCTCATATAAAATTAACAGGTTATTAATTCACTATTATTTTTAACAAATTTTAGCGAATAGGCCATGTTAGAAAAAAACACTGTAGTAATTTCACTGACATAAATAAATATGGCATATCTACATATAGTCTACATATTTAAATCCAACACTCATAAACAATGTTTGGTGAATGATTTGTCTGAGAAGAACACAGACAAATCCCAAGAGAGGGTCATCAAAAACAAGGGACCTCTGATAAGTGTCACAGGTAAGAGTAGCCTAAGGGGAACTGACAACTAAATGTAATATGGTATTTTGGATGGGGCTCTGGAACAACAAAAAATGGACACTGGGTAAAAACAAAGGAAATATGAATTAAGTATGGGCTTCATTTAAAAATGGTATGTCAATATTGGATCATTAGCTGTAACAAATGTATTATAATGTTAAGATGTTGATAATGAGACCAACTGGGTACAGAGTTTATGGGAAATAAAACTATCATCATAATTGTTTTCAATCTGAAAATGTTCTAAAAGGAAAGTTTATTAACAAAACATACTATTTAATTCATATGAAATAGAATCCATAAGTAATTAACACTCATGCAAAATATCACATCAAGAAGCAAAGAAGGATATACACATACTTAAAACCATTTCCCCTGATGAGTAAACAGCTTTAGAACCAGTAGTCAACACAGAGGTGACAAAAGCTTTCACATTTTTACTATATGTGTCAAGAGAAATGAGAGAATAGACCAATCTATCTAACTTTTTTCTCTTTAATTTCACTGTGCAATTTATATTTTTACTTCCAGGATCCTAAAATATTCTTTGTTTTAAATAATATATCCTTGTGTAATAAAATGAATAATATTTGTTGTAGAAAATTTGGAAAGTATCAAAAGGTATAAAGAAGAAAATAACAACACCTCTAATTGCACTATCCAGTCAGAACAAGTTGTTGAAGGTTTTAGCATTTTATTTTCTAGCCATAACATTTTAGTAAAATATTTTAGATATTATATAGAATAATTATGTATTTATTATTTTATTTAAAACACTAGAGGCCCGGTGCACAAAAATTTGTGCACTCAGGGGGCGGTGGGAGGGGGTTCCCCCAGCCCGGCCTGTGCCCTCTCGCAGTCTGGGACCCCTCAGGAGATAACGACCTGCTGGCTTAGGCCTGCTCCCGGGTGGCAGAGGGCAGGCCCAATCCCTAAGTGCAGCCCCTGGTCAGGCTCAGAGCAGGGCCGATTGGGGAGTTGGGGCGCCGCCCCGTCATGCACAGAGCAGGGCAGATCAGGAGGTTGAGCCGATTGGGGGGTTGGGGCACCGCCCCCTGTCACACTCAAGGCAGGGTGAATCATACCACCATCCTTGGTAAACTCAAGTCAGAGACCTGAATGGTATCTTATATTCATGACTTATTTCCAAAATTCAATTTTTCATGAAATTCTACCCATTCTACCTCCTAAGCTGTCTTCCTATTTCACTCTTACTATCTCCATTGATACTCTCTTTGTTCAAGTCCAGAACCTCCATGGTCAGGGACTGCTAAGCCTGCTACAGTGTCCTTTCCACCAGGCTTCCTGAGCACCCCACCACTTCCATTCCAAACAGAAATCCGCCCCGCCCCCCACCCCCTATAATTTCTCCATCTACTGCCAGGTTGATATTTACACGATATCTTCCTCCTGTTTACAACCCTCGGAGCCTCCGGGGTTCTGCACAATGCCTTTCACATCATCTGGGGCCTGGACCCCAGCCTCACTGCTCACCACTCTTCATCTTGCGTCATATACTTCAGTCCCTGCAGAGCTATATGACTCCCTGAAAGTAAAATGTGCTCCAATGCCTCCATGCTTTTACACAGGTTATATGCTGTGCCTAAAATGTCTTTTCCAAACACAAGCAAATTTCTATGCAGTCTTCAAATCTCAGATAAAGTGCTGTTACCTCTCTCTGAAGCGTTTTCCTTACTGCCTACACCAACAATAATCAGTAAAGCAAATAACTGTGGTTCACATGTCTCCTTCCCCTGGACTACAATCTCCTTGCAAACAGGGCTTGGGTTCACTCATCTTTGAAACCCAATGCCTAGTACATACTCAATATATTTTGCTCAACAAATTAAATGAATCATATGCTAGATCTAGGAACTCTTCAAAGATAGATCATTAACTCTTCCCACTGAACACACATTTCTGTCCACAGCTGACCCAAAATACCTGATTTGACCCAGGTCAAATCCTAAATTAGAAGGTATCCTGTAAAATATTCCATGCTCTGGGTAGTCCTAATAAATGATTACTTCTTAGAGAAAAGGCTTAATAGCTCCAAATTACCAATATCATTATGCAGTTATTCAACAGCTACTTATAAGACACTTGGCCAACAGTGCCCAGATATAAAAGTTTTAAATCTTAGTCTAGGGTTTAAAATTCTGACTCAGTCTAATTCATTAGACCTTCTATAGGTCTCTCTGATTAAGATTAAAGTAGTATCCACAACTTGCAGCCTTTTAATAAGCCTGGAGGGTACCATCTGTGCCCTCCAGCGCCCCACCCCCGCCCCACATTTCCCTAGTCTGCCAAGATACACAGTTGGACAATCTCTATCCCTGAGGCATATAGGATGTACAAAAACCTAAAAATATTAAAGAGGGAACATACTGTTATTACTGCACATGAGCTAAAAGACAACATAAACTAGCCTTAGGCATTGATGGGCTGGAAGGGGCAGGTGTTGCTGAGGAGCTAAGATGCTTCTCTAAATCAATTACCAAACATACCCAGTGCTCACATATAGGCCACTCCAGGCCACTTCATTACTGTACAATCCCTACTAAAGGATTTTCAAATATTGCCTGCAGAGATCCTGTTACTCTCCAACAGAGCTTTGAGATTCAAGGTATTAAGTGGGGTTTTTAAAAACATAATTTTATTGATTTCAGAGAGGAAGGGAGAAGGAGAGATGGTAACATCAATGATGAGAGAGAATCATTGATTGGCTGCCTCCTGCATGCCCCACACTGGGAACTGAGCCTGCAACCCTGGCATGTGCCCTGACTGGGAACTGAACCGTGACCTCTTGGTTCATAAATTGACACTCAACCACGGAGCCATGCTGGCTGGGCATGGGTTTTAAAAAAATTGTTATCTGTTCTTGAAGAGAGTGGGGTGAAGGGGGAATATAGAGGAAGAAAAATAGAGAGGCATGGACCAACAAGAGAAAAACTAAACAGAAGCTGATCCTGTGGGAGTATGCAGATTCAAAACTTACATACACACAAACTCAAATAAGGAAACCCAAAATAGTAGCATCTTTAGAAAATTTTTTTGCCATGGATTGATTCTATTACATCCTTCATAATATATAATCATAATATAAGTTCCCACTATACTGATTTTGAACTCCTTCTTCCTTCTCCTTCTCAAATAAATGAATAACTAAGAATTTTTTATAAAATGAAAGAATGAAATAAAAGAATGAAAGCAAAGTAGAAGACGGCAACAAATTTTCTGTATTTTAAGGTAGCAGGTCAATGGCCCTGTGGAAAATATTTCAGAGAAACAAGCAAGTTTGCAAAAGCATTCTTCTGTGGTCTTCTCTAGAGCCCAGACACTTGTTAGAGTTAGAAGCTATGAGGCCTGCTTCCATTACTGAGCTTTTTAGCAACTTTGGCACAGATGCCCTCTAGAATATTTTTCTTGGAATTAACTGATGCAGCTTCTCACAGTAAGACTTCTGTAAATTAAGCATCTACTTTATTAAGCAAGATTAAATGGGGTGGGGGAATCTTTATTTATTTTCCTCAGACATAAATATTTCCTAAGCTAACTTTCTACAGACTCAGCAAGTCACTAAACAGTTCATGAAACCAATGTTGTCCATATGGATATTAGGAAGCAGTATGGTGGATTTGCAAAAATCACTTTAAGTCCACTTTTACTTTTTAAAAAAACTAAAACAAAAAGGTTTTAACTCTAAAACGTGATAAAGCCAAAGAAAATGTACAGCATCAATTGCATAACAAGGGCACTGGAATGCAGGTTGGCGTGACTCTCACCTTGAGCTTTGCATAGCAGCTTTGCAGATGGTCCATATCACTTCCCAGTTTCAGATTTTGTGTTTCCACATTTTCCTGAGCTAGAAGGTTCTTCCGCTGACGTACAAGTAGCTCATTCATACAGTTTAAAACAGCAACTATATTTAATTCTCTCTTTGTCTCTTTACCTTTGGATTCTTCATATAATGAAGGAAAACCGAAAGTAGTCAATTCCTGGTAGGAGAAAACGTTTTTCTAAAAGTTGGTTACCAGACAAAACTTAGTAAAAAAACAAAAGATAGAAATATTTTCTGAGAAAAATATCCTATTATATTTAAGGAAACAGTAAATATCCCAAAGAAAAAGAATTTGAGAGAACTGGAATCTTTTCAGTCACTTAGAGCGAGGCAGGCAGGTTTCTTCACCAGTAAAATAAGGGTGAGACTCCCAGTGGAGGAGCCCCCGGGGAGATGGGAGGCCAACCTGCTCCTTATATCTAGTTAGGTGATCACCAAGGTTCTCCACAAATCTAATACAAGTCCTGGACCAATGCACAATATACTTGTAATGACAAGTGTTCTCATAACTTCAATATTATAGAACTTGATTTATACCAATGCTTCTTACAAAAAAAACCACCATTACCTGATCAAGATATGAAATACTTTGTTCAATATTCTCTTCTGTGCAGAAGGCACTGAAAAAACTGTGCACATTTTTTGATAAAGGTATTGAAGAACAGAGCACTTGCTGTGAGTATAGACTTGATGGAGACATCTTTGTTTCTGAGGTATATTGACAGATATTTTTGCTTTCTGAAAGAATAAAAGGCACTTATGTAAATAATATATTAAAATGCATGCAAAGTTAGCAATCTCCATTACCAAAGATTTTGAATTACATAAATATCTTAAGTATTTTCAAATTAAGACAAAGTTGGTAGTATATGAAAACTATGTACTACCTACTTTTCCCCAAAAAGACACAACTATAAAGTGGTGCTCTTACTAGGCATGTTAAGCTACAATATGCTACCTTAATTTGACATGTTTTAGATTTCTAAAAATAATAGACAAAAATCACTTGTCTATACATTCAAAGTTTATGCAATTAAAGAAATATATCAGAGAAATGTATTGAAGCAGCCAATGAATTTATTTCAAATGCATAAAAATTTCCTCAAAAATAGTAACAAGTGATCGATCATCCACCCAAAGCAGTTAACCCCACAAATTATGGCACAATTCTTGGCTCTCCCTAATAATTTTACTGAAGATGGAAATTAGGCATTTTACAGTTATTTGTGTCTCTCATTAGTCACATCTTCAATATTTGTGATAACTATTTATAGTTTTATTGAAAATAATCACTTTTACAACTGCTTTGGCTTACAGTTATTTTAAACTCAATCACCTGAACACAGACCTGGATCTGTAACCGTCATCCAATCTCCCATAGCAGTTGCCAGAGCCAGGATACCTGAGGAACCAGTTCAGCAGTGAAACATTCAGTTCAGCTGCTGTCACTCTTCTATGTAGGCATCTCCTTAAAAAGCAAGTCACAGAGTAACAGCAGCTAATTAAAAATATGAAAGCAAATATAAAACCAATGTGTAAGAATTAGTTCTATGCGCTTCAAAAAGGAAAGATTGTGTGTTATTTATTCTCATGTACACCCATAAAGAACATGGTAGAACTCAGTATTAATTACTGTATGTCTGTGGACACACGTGTAAGGATAAGGCTAAGGGCTTCTCCAGTTATACTGACGTATTCACATTACCTCATACAGAAAGTACATGGTACATGATTTCACTCACAACATAAATCCAAAGTACAGCATTATAGTAAGTAATAAATAGCTCTATAGCAGCGGTCGCCAACCTTTCAGACCTCACGGACCACAAGTGGTCTGTGGACCACCGGTTGGCGACCACTGTTCTATAGTATATCCTTTAAAATAAAATAATGTTCATATATACATAGACAAGATGAAAAAATTCTTGGCCAGCACTCCCATTTTTTGTTTTTACAAACTATATTGGCAAAACTTTTATATTTTTCATTACAATTCCCAATGTTGACATAGATGCAGAGAAATGAATACTCCCATACATTGCTCTCCAGAAAGATTATATGAACTTATATTACCACCAAGCAATTTGGTTGGCAATCTGTATCAAAATTCTTAAAAATAAAAATATATTTTAATCAGAAATTCCAGTTCTAAAATGTTATCCTAATAAAACGATTTGTATAAAATATTCATCTACTGTTCTTTTACAATATCATAAAAACAGAAATAACTTATACGTGCCACAGGAGACTGTTTATATACATGATATATTTATGCAGTGGGACACTGTGCAACCATTAAACATAACCAAGTAGAATTAGGGTGCCTAATAAGTACATAAAATTCAAGAAATGCGCATGAATGAAGTAGACTAAGAAACAAATAACCTTTTTTAGTTTACCATTCATGTTTGCATTTTTTACAGAAGTAATTGAATAAATAAATATTTCTCCCTCATAAAAATGCAATGAAACTATAAATGGCAACTAGAAATTGAATTCAAGGTCAGGATAGCAGGAGGAGAGGTTAACGATTGGAGGCACACTGGAGAGCACACGCCAACACCGGAGAGCTGCGTCTCAGCTACAACAAACTGTGGCCAAAGAGAAAGCAGGTCCTTTGCTGCTACATCTTTCCATTTTTTAAGATGTTGGAATTCTGAATTTTTTGTAAAATCTCCCAATTTTTAAAGATAGAAGTCAATTAAAAAGATGAACTATGCAAATTATCCTGTGGAAAGAGAGAGTGGCTGGGGAGGATATGAGAGAGCCTTGATTGAAAGGTGGTTATGTAGGTATACACATTCATGAAATTCATCAAATTGTACACTTAAGATTTGTACATTTGACTGCTCTAAGTTGTACCTTAAACAACAACAACTTTTTAATAAGCCAAATAAAATGTGTCTTTAGGCCAAAAAAAACCCAAAAAACAAAAACAAAAACACAAAACTACCTAAACTGATTGCTGACCAAGACATAGAGTCAATTTAATTGAAAATTTCTTTTCCCTTGAGAGGGAATCATTCATTCAATAAGTATATGCAAACCTACTATATGTCAGGCTCTGTTTTAGGCTCTGGGGACAACAGTTATCCAAAGAGTTAGAGTTAATGACCTCATTGAACTTACATTCTATTGGGGGAGGCAGATAAGTATATATGATGTCAACTGATAATTCAAATGGTGCTATTGAGAAAAATATAGAAGGAAGCAGGGAATGAGTGAGGGTGATGAGTGCAGGAGAGTTTAATTCAGCTCACAGTGTGATAGGGTTCTTAGAAATTAGAGTTATCAGGGTCAAGGGGATAAGGTTTGATAGTTACTGTGGAAAGGGTATAATGATATCAGCACCAAAAAGGTAGATAAAGGATGTAAGTTTGGACCTTTTGCAGGATGGAAGGATGGAGGTTTTTCATGAAGACCCTGGATTCAGGGGCCCTTTTTTAAAAACTATTATCTTGGTGACATGGAAGTTATAGCAAAAGCAGTCTTACCTATTAGGCTACTATGTCCCTTTGTAACTACTGCTAATGGTGGCCCAAAGACCAGGAGGAGTGACTAGCCAATCAAGTAGATGAATTTAGAAAAACAAAAACAAAGTGGCTTTGACTTCCCCATGGGTGTGGACGCTGTTCATGAAAAAGCTCTTTGTAGGAGACCTCTTCATGCCCTGGGCAGGTAACTGTACAGTGTGTCTCCAAATACCTTTATACTTCGCAGCCTTAACTAGATATCTTTCTGAAATGCCATAAAATTGTCTGCAAAAATAAAATGGTGGGGTTTGTGGTCTGGCATGTAAGGAGCTTTCAAGTCTATATTTTGTCCTAACAAGTAAAAACTGAACAAACTGAAAAATCAACAACTTTTCTTTGATCCATCATAGATGTGAGGTCACAAGGCAAAACCACTGCCCTTCAAGTTGGCAAGACTGACAGGTGGATAAAGAGAATCACAACTTGCCAGAGCAGAATCCTGTGTGGGAACCAGTGCTAGGTAAGAAAACCTAAACTACGTTTGACAACTTGCTGGAGGTTCAATGTAGACAAGTCTGAACATATAAAACTCTGAGCGACCCAGTCACATGGGAATTTTATTTCAAGGAGCTCTACCAGGTCCTCAAAGTGAATATCGAAGACAAATCCCCTCATGCTTGAAGCAGGGGGAAGTAAAAAGGAACAATTCTGAAACACAGCAGAGCATTCTGCCTTTCTTCACAAAGGCCTGACTTCACAAGAAACTCTTTAACCAGAACCTCACCTGCTGGGGTATTGTCAGAGCCTAGCTGACCTGGAGGAAGGGGAATTCCCAACACTAGCCTGCGAGAGCAGTCCTGTTCTAACTCAGGAGGTGGGAGGGAGGGCAATTAAGTTCACAGTCCAGGGGTACAAGCTCAACAAAAGACTGAGCCCTAATCATAGAACTATAGAATATCTCCCCTTCCCTACACCTTACCAATACATTAATGAAAGCCTATTTAACACAGTTTTTTTGAGCCAGTACATCAGGTCTACCTTGCAAGAAAACAATGACAAGGCATACCACCAGGGAAAAAACACAGTTTGAGTAAACTGAACGAGCATCGGAACCAGAGTCCAATATGGCAGGAATGTTGGAATTAGCAGAAGAGGAATTTTTTATAATTATGATTAATATGCTTAAGGGCTTTAATGGAAAAGTAGACAACATGCAGGAACAGACGGACAATGTAAGCAGAGAGATGGAATATCTAAGAAAGAAGAAATACTGGATACCAAAAACAATGTAACAGAAATACATAATTCCTTAGTCCGCTCATCAGTGGACTGCACACAGCAAAGGAAAGAATCTCTGAGCTTCAAGATATTACAATGGAAATTCTCAAAACTGAAAAGCAAAGAAAAAGAGACTGAAAAACATTGACAGGTTATTCAGGTACTGTGAAACAATGATACTGGATGTAGCATATATGTACTGGCAATACCATTGGAAGTCATAATGACTGATAATTTCCCCTAATTAGTGTCCCACACTAAACCATAGATCCAGGAAGCCCAGAGAACAAGTAAGCAGGATAATATAAAAAATCCTTCACCTTGGCATATAATATTCAAATTCAGAAAATCAAAAATAAAGAAAAAATTCTGAAAGAAGCAAGATTGGTGTTGGAAACACACTTTACCTATGAGGAGCAAAGATAATATCTTGCTTCTCTCAGAAATCATGCAAGCAAGAAGAGAGTGAAGTGAAATATTTAGTGTTCAGAGAAAAAAAGCAACTAAACTAGAATTTTATACCTTGTTAAATTATGCTTCAAACTGAGGAAGAAATAAAACTTTTGTAAACAAAATTTGAGAGAGTAAATAGAATAAAACTGTCTTTTCCCCCAGATGACATGACTGTCTATGTAGAAAATCCAAAGAATCAACAAAAAACTGAAACTAATAGCTGATTATAACAAGGTTGCAGAATTCAAGGTTCATAAACAAGTTAATCATTTCCCTATATAACAACAACAAAAAAGAAATTTAAAGTTAAAAATACAATATTATTTATATTATCACTCCCCAAAATGGAATACTTCAGTATAAATCCAACAAAATATGTACAATGTCTATATTAGGGAAGCCACGAGATTCTGATAAACAGAATCAAAGAAGAACTAAATAAACGATGAGATATTCTACGTTCATATATAAGGAGACTAAATATTAAAATGTCAGTTCTTCCCAACTTGATATATATAGCTCTAATGTAACTCCAATCAAAATCCCAGCAAGTTATTTTGTGTATACCAAAAACTTATTCTAAAGTATATATGGAGAGGCAAAAAAAAACCCAGCATATGCAGCCCAAGATTGAAGAAGTACAAAATTAGAAGGCTGACACCGTCTGACTCAGCAATTACTATAAAGCTATAGTTACATAGACAGTGTGATATTTGTGAAACAATGGACAAATAGATCAATAGAACAGAAATAGATTCATGTAAATATAGTCAGTTGATCTTTGACAAAGGAACAAAGGCAATACAATGGAGAAAATATAGTATTTTGAACAAATGATTCTGGAACAACTGGATATCCAAATGCAAAAAAAAATGAATCTAGAGACAGACCTTATATCCTTACCAAAAATTAACTCTAAATTGATCACAAAACTAAATGTGAAATGCAAAATTATAAAATTCCTAGAATATGACATAAGAGAAAACCTCAGTGACTTTGGATATAGCAATGACTTTTTGATAAAACAAGAAAGGCACAATCCATAAAAAAAAACCACAAGTGATTAGCTGGACTTTATTAAACTTAAAGACTGTTATGAGAAAGACAGTTTCAAGAGAATGAGAAGACAAGTCAAAGAATGGGAGCAAATCTTTACAAGAGACACATCTGATAATGGGCTGTTACTCAAAATATACAAAGAATTCTTAAAAGGGCTTTAATGGAAAAGTAGACAACATGCAAGAACAGATGGACAATGTAAGCAG